TCTATACACACAAACAAAATATACATACATCATCTACACCACTTATCCTTCTGGGTCAGGGTGGGGTGCTGGAGCCTATCCCAGCTGTCATTGGGCGGAAGGCAGGAAACACCCTGGACAGGTCGCCAGTCTATTGCAGGGCAGACAGACAGACATACACATTCACACCTAGGGGCAATTTAGCATGTCCAATTGGCCTGACTGCATGTCTTTGGACTGTGTTTTAATATTACTAATACAAATATAAGCATAAATCCAGTAGTCAGAAGTCAGAATGTGTTGTTTTCAGTAAAGTTTTGAAAATGTAGATTAAAAGAACACAGTGAAAAGAACCCAGTTAGCAGAACCCAGGTTTGGTTCTCTCTGAATATCAGCATCACACTGTTCAGTTCCATCAGCTGATTAATTTAATGAAGTGATCAGATAAAGCAGATACTGTAACGGTAGAGAAAGAACTTGCTTCAGGATAGATTCATAAACCATCTCACACACACACACACACACACACACGCATACACACACACAAACACACCCACACACACAAACACACACACAGAGAACAAGCACAATGGATTGTTTATTTGAAGTGACTCTAATGCTCACTGCTCAGATAAACAGCCTTACAGATTATACTCTCAGAGGGACTAAGACTTTTGCACAGCACTGTATGTAATGATATTAGAATCAGAATTGCTTTATTTCACCAGGTACACAGTCTTAGTGAGTCACACATGACATTAACACGCTGAACAGACCAGACAAACACAGACTGACAACAAGTGTTCAACTCAGAGAAAAATACAATAACCATAGCAATAACAATACAATTACAACAATTACAGTGAACAGAGTAAAGAGTAATGAAAGGCTGAAGTGGGAGGGGCTGAAGTGGGAATATCTGTATGTGTATGTCCTAAATAAATATTATATACAGAATATCAGAGTAAAATAAGCATTTGTATGAAAATATGAACATCTGTACAGCTGTGTGAGTAATCGCTCTGTTACAGAGGAGTGACTGTAGTACAGTTTAAATGTATATATATATTGGCTGTTATTGTTATTATTTAATCATAGCCATTGCTATATTAATATAAATAATCTTTGACTTGACTGAATTGTCCTGTTAAAACTGCTCACCTGTTTATTTTTTACACCATTTCAAACGTTACTGTGTGACCACTTCATGACAAACTGACCGACAGAAATGATCCCAACTTACTCAGAATTCAGATTTTACACTGAGATTGTTCCTTGTCATGTAAAGCTGCTGTTCTGATGAGTAATAATGTGTTGATGTTTAGTGTTTAATGCTCTGGGCTGATAAGGTTCTCTGAGTGACCCCAGATACACACTTTATGGATAGTTTAGTTTATGGATTATAATATCAGCACTCATACTCAAACAATGTGTTTATATTTTATCTATCGAGGCATATTTAGATATAAGGCTGCTATAAAAGCTTCATTACTGTCTAGCGTCTGTTTAAACCACTGTTTGTTTAAAGGAGGAGAGAAAATATGTGGAGGTTTGTGGGTAAAAATTGTTAATTGCGAGTGAAAAATGTATATTAACATGTTTATAAGGACAGTCACTGAAGTTCTGTCTGAAATATTACTAAATAAAAATGGAATAAATATTCAACCTTTGTCATGCCTTAACATACATCTGTTAACACATTAATGCTACACCTATAAACCTAATATAAGCATTTAAATTTTAACTAAAATATTAAAATGTATCTGAGTTTTTTATTTGATTTTCATACTAATTCCTGTACTGTAATAGAACTACTGAATTCAACACAAACTAAGTGCACTAAGTAGAATTAAGGTGATACACTAAAGAATGTGTGACGTCAAATACAGCATGTCCACCCATCATGAAAAACTTTTTTTTATTAAATAGTTTAGTTTAGTTTTAGTTTAGTTTATTTCACACAATTTGAAATACACACAAACACAAAGATACATAATATACAGTGCAGTGAGCAGTAAAAAAACCTAATAAGCTTATATAAAATAAATATTTAGATTTTTCAATATTAAGAAAACACAAAATAACATACAAAACATAATAACGACATAGAGTATACATCAAATATCCTAAATATCAGGTAACGCATAAAGTAAAGACATGTGAGTGTGTAAGCACATGTGTGTGTTGTGTATGTGCGCATGGACATTCATGCATATATATGAAATTAATAGATACAGAAGTTTGTGGTGTAGGTTTATACTCTCATATTAATTCTGGAGAAATAGTAAATATGTCACAGTAAGTGAAACAAATAAAACATGGACATATAGACAGCAATACATACAGAAAAATAGCTATAATAAGCATGTTAAACGGCCTTTTATATTTTAAAGAACTTTTTTGACAAATGTGAATACATATTTAATATTTCAGTGCCCATAAATGAAGATGAAATGAAGATGAAGATCTGAAGAGTGACGAGTTGTACCTCTGAATTTGTAGTAAAATAATTCTTAAACTGCTCTGGAATATTCATTTAATTTTAAAGTATCTTAAAAATAAAAAACACATTTGAAAAAACATTAATATTGTAAACATTAAGAATCTGAGGTTTCTGACATAATGGAGCAGCTGACATTTATAAATCTGATCAGGTTGCAATTCTAACAAAATGTTTCTGCAGGACCTAAATATTGCAGAGATATGTAGGAAAAAAATAGCTTACAAAACAAAAGATGAAAAGAACAAAAGTGAAAAAGCTCTAATCTTGGTGGCTGGCAATGTGACAGTGTCAGTTCAGCCCAAAATATTCCACACATTCCTCTCCGACACGACTGCGATGGGGCCAGACCTCTCAGCGCTATTTAGCACTAAATAAATAAATAAATAAATAAACAGAGATGGGGTCTGTCCGTGGCGTAACTGAACTTATATAGAATAAACAACTGTCATTCCTATTCATATACAAAACTGCATTTACATTTGGCTCCAATTTTGTAGAATGAAATTAAAAATAAAAGCTACTTTTTGGTGTCACAAAAAGCACTTTTGTTTGAGGTTTACTTTTGTACAAAGCCACCAAACATCCCCACAATGACAAAATTCGGTTTTGGTCCCGACAAAAAGATAAATACATACGCAGTTCACGTTTCTTTAATATAATACTTTATCTGCGTCCTTGAGTTTTGCTTTCCACCTCGTCACACCATCAAATTTCTGTGCTTGTTCTGTTCTTACAGCCTGTACTGAGTCCCTGAGATGCTGAAAGGTGCATTTAAATAAAATGTATTATTATTGATGATGATGATGATGATGATGATTATTATTCTCTGATGAAGGTTCAGAAGCTGATAGTGTATGTGTTTTTGGTCATGTGCTGTTTCTCCATTTTCAATCTAACAGGATTGTTAAGCATAGCATGTCCACAGAACATGCAACAACAGTATTTTGCAATATTTACAAAAAAGGCAAGTCTAACTTTTATAGCTTAAAATATTACACACATTCCCCTCTGACAGGCAGGATGGGGTGTTTATATACAGTTGTCATATGTACAGTCTGAACACGCCTTGTCAAATTCCATGTTCTGATGATTTTTTTGGTGAAAATAAGTTAACACATCCTCTACAGAAAACAGCATTACAATATAGCATAAACAATTTCTGTTTATCTGCTTAGTTTAACATTTTGGAAAAAAAAACAAGCCAGAAAACGTCAGAATCAGAATCAGGATCGTTTTTTTTGGCCAACTGTGCTCAGCTAAGAATATTCAACATTAATCAGTAATGGTGTATTTAAATGTGTCTCTGTAGAACAAAGACATGGCGACTTATTCACATGGAACTTTTGGTAGGTGCACTTTTAAAACCATGGATGATAAAAAATATGTGACTTTTTTTTAATGGATATATATGATATTTAAATTATATATATATATATGTACATACATACACACATACAAATATATATATATATATATATAAGACAATGGCACAATGGCTCTATATAGAACCATAAACATAAATCAAAGAACCATTTGCATGCTTAAATAGATCTTTGCATGGTGAAATGGTTTTTCAGATTAATGGAGAATGTGTTATATGGTTTTATATAAAACCCTCTTCAAAATGATCCTACATAGCACCAAAAAGGGTTCTGCTATTGTTACGATGTCAAGAAGGCAACCCTTTTTGGTGCTATATAAAACTAGTTTCAAAAAGAACAAATTCTCCATCAATGTGAGAAACTATTTCACCACGCAAAGAATCATTTATCATTTTGGGGTTCTTTGAGTGTTCTTGGTCCTGTATAGAACCACTGTCTTTTCTAAAGAACCCTCTTTAGCTCTTTAATCAAACTGTTCAAATGAATTTGATTAAAGAGCTCATGTGGTGCCCAAGGTCCCCACAAAGCTGAAATGCCATTTAGTCCCCACAAAGCAATAAATACACACGCTCAGCTCTCCGAACGAGTGCTTCTTTCACCCCTGTGTCAAGGTGCGTGGAGTGCAGTGCTGTAGTGCATTAGTGAGAACGGGTTCTTTTTCCTTCTGCTGCACGTGCGAGGGGAGGGGTGAGCACACACACACACACACACACATACTATCTCTCTCTCTCCGCCATGCTGGTGCGGGTCTCTGCTCTCCCGGCTGCTCTCTGACCCCGGTGCCCGTGTCCCTCTCTCCCTTGGCCGAGGAAAAACTCGGACGCCTGCCGCGCTCGGAGTATCCAGGAGGCGGCGGAGAAGCTGGAGGTCCCTGCCCGGGGGGTCGAGGGTCCTGCCCCGCTGCACCCTGGCCGGTGTGCCCGCCACACAAAAGGTACTCTCCGCTGTGCTTCCAGCGCCACACACACATACCGGGACTCACACACATACACATTTTACATTCATGACAAGCACCAGCAGCCCTGGCCGGGGGCTGGAGTGTCAGGTTTCCGCGAGCTTGGAGCCCTCCAAATGGCTCCATATTCGAATTGTCCGTTCCACCTTAGATGGTGGCGCCTCCGGCGCCAGAACGTAACTGCTGCACCATTTAAGGTGGAACGGACAATTCAAATAAGGAGCCAACTTGAGCCTCGCACCGGCTCTTCGGTGAACCTGTAGACGCCTCTCAGGCGAGAAAACTCGGCCAAGCACCCACAGATGGGTCGTGACTTCCCCCGTTCCCCCTCCGGGCGTTTATACCTGAGAGCGGGAGCGGGGGCTCTTCCTACCCAACCTAAAGCCACCCAGCCACGCGTGCCTGTCAGCGAAGCCCTGCTGGACCTCTCGTTTTAGTTTTCCTTTCTTTTTTCGTTCCAACGAGCGGAAACGAACAGTTGCTGAGTGAAAATATGTCTACTATGTTTTCAAGGGGATATAGAGCTTTATTTAGTGTTTTCAAAGCTGTTTTTACAGAGCGTTCCCCGGGCTTTTTCTCCGCGAGAGGAGCCTAATGAGTCCCCGCGTACCTGAAAGCGAAGCTCCGGCGGCTCGTTTTCCTCCTGCTCGCCTGTTTTAGTGGACTGGGGCGACCGATGGCGGTACGAGAAGATGTACGAGATGTTTATGAGGCGAAACGGAGCATTTCAGCCCCACCGTGTCGCTTTTTTGAGGTATTTATTTAGGAGATAAATGCCGCGGCTGCAGCTCCGGAGCTAAAGCTAACCGCTAACTGGGGAAACGGAACAAAGTATCACGAGCCGGTGTTTATTTTACAGACAGTTTTACACAAATGGCGCGGATATTATAGAAATTATAGAATTTATGAATATTAAATAAAAGTTATTCTATTGTTATACATATACAGTATTCGTGTGTACATTATAGTCAGCTGAGAGCTGTGTGTGTGAGTAAGACAGGGTGTTTGGGATGTGTGTGTGTGTTTATGTGTGTTCTCAAGGCCTGGTGGGGTACATATATACACACAAACGCTCACACACTCTCTCAGGTGGAGGTGTTCCACTCTACCAGAGCTGAGCTTCTGAGGTGGTGAGTAGTGCAGTGGGGTTGGGGTGTTTTTTTTGGGGGAGGGTTGTGTGTTGGGGTGGTTGGGGTAGTTTGAGTTACATGGTGGCGGTTGAGGAGTTGGGGTAATTTGAGGTAAGGTTGGTGGTGTTGGTTAAAGAGCTGGTGTAGTTGTGGTGGGGTAGGTGGTGATTGTTGGTTGGGGTAGTTTGCATTGAGGCAGGTGATGAAATTTGGATGAGGAGTTATCACAGTTTGCAGTGGGGTAGGTGGTGATGGTTCAGGAGCTGACGTAGGTGGTCATTGTTGGTTGAGTTGAGGGAGATGATGAAATTTGGTTGAGGAGTTGGCATAGCTGTGGCGGGGTAAGTGGTGAGGTGATGGTTTGGGTAGTTTGCGTTGGGGGTAGGTGGTGATGGTTGACGAGTTGGTGGAGTTGTGGTGGGTAGGTGGTGATGGTTGGTTGAGAAGCTGATGTAGTTGTGGTGGGGTATGTGGTGATAGTTGTGGAGTTGGGGTAATTTGAGGTAGTGCAGGTGGTGGTGGGTTGAGGAGTTGGGGTAGTTTGCATTTGGGTTTGTTATTGTGCTTATGATTGGTTGAGGTGTATATTGGTTGGGGTGGATAATTAAGGTAACTTAGTCGGGGGAGGGTAGGTTAGGTGGTTGGTTGGAGCGCTTGTGGTGGGGTACGTTGGGGTGGGTTGTGTTTGGGTGGCTTGGTGAGGTAAACTGGGGTAGTTTGAGCTAGGATTGGTTAGTCGAGGTGGCATAGCTGTGGTGGTGATTGTGTTCGGGTGTTTTTGTTGAGCTTGGGGTAATTTTGGGATGTTTGCACTAGGCTGAGATGTTGGTTGATGTAGTCGTGGTGGAGCACACTGAGAAGACAAAGGGCTACACTGAATTTATTTGATTTGAATGTAGACATTATTTCCATTATTAGTATATCAACACAGTTACTTCCACATGATCATGTGTTGATATATATTATTTATTCAAATGGAGATGATGGACAGATTTAATTCGGGTAAAGTTAATGCAGCAGTTTTTTAATGTAGGTTGGGTTGAGGATGGATGTTTTTTTGCATTTTGTGTGTGTGTGTGTGTGTGTGTGTTAGAAGCCTGAAGGCTCCATTAGACACAGCTGGTAACGAAACACACTGGGGGTTACAGATACGTCAATGATCAATAATCAATTACTGTAACACTAATTATTAGAGCGCTACAGGAGAGAAACACAGTACAGTGATTTATTTACTGTATTTACTGTCTGTGCTGCTGTTTATATTCAGCTATAACTGTGTGTTTAGTAAATGTGCCGTGTGACGGTTTTTGCAGATGCTCAGTTTTACCGCACTTTCTTATTTTGCTTCTTGCTGATTTTTATTATATTTTTAATTGACTAATTCTCCATTGGCTGGAATAAAGAGTGGCCCTGTATTATGTTTAACAATTACACAGCTAAATGAAATATAGCTGTGTTTTACTGCAAGAGGAAGTCTGCTACAGGAAAATGAAATGTGCAAAAGTAATTGTAAAAAGATTTATATTTGAATGTCTTTGAGGTTTGAAATTAGTACATGAATTTTGTATTTTGTAGTAAAATTCAGGAAAGGTTTCATTCTTTATGAACATATGCATATATAAGAATTCAATTAAATATAGGTCAATACATGAATGCATAAACATCAGAGTTAGCAGAAATAACTGCTTCATTAAAGATATTTTTCCACAACGATTATTTTCATTACAGGTTATTATTCTGGTGTAATTAGTTAATATTGTTGTTCATGACTTAATTACAATGTAGACATCTTGCAGATTCTCTGTGAGGTTTAGTTGTTCACTTTATATTTGGGGTTTTAGATGTTTTAACAGTTTCGTTTACTTATTTAATTCATTCATTACTTAATTGGTCCTTGTTCATTTGCTTTTTAATGTTTTTCCTCGTTCACTTTCCTCCTGTGCCTTTTCCTCTGCAGGTTCTTGTTGTGGGTTCTGTTTGGGTTCTCGTGGCGGTTCTGAAGGATGAGTGTGTGTCCGGCTCCAGCACGCTGGTGAAGTTTCTTGTGTGTGATTTGGAGTAAGGATGGCCCACAGGATGCCGACGCAGGGCAAAGTGACCATCACGGTGGATGAGTACAGCTCCAACCCCACGCAGGCCTTCACCCACTACAACATCAACCAGAGCCGCTTCCAGCCGCCGCATGTCCACATGTGAGTAACCCGAGAAGAACTGAGTTACATGTCTGTGTTAGAACTGCGCGATATTTGGTTGTTGTGATGCTGCCGTTCACATTGCTGATGTGTGCTACGGTAAAAAGGGAGACATTGAGTTTATTTGATTGAAATGTGTGATGTGTGTGAAGCCTGAAGGCTCCATTAATCAATTACAACACTGATTATTAGAGCACTGCAGGAGAGAAACAAGAAACACTATACATTTTTATTTACTGTATTTACTGCTGCAGTTTACATTCAACTGGATGTTAAGTAAACATGCTTTTTGGTGGTTTTTGTTTATGCTCAGTTTTACATTATTTTTACAATATATTAATTATATTAGCACAGTTATTGCCAAAGTAGGCAGGGGCGGGAGGTAAACCTATGTAGAAGTGAACCCTGTACGATGTATATAATGTATAAAAATCTTCTCTGCCTTCAAGATGGATAAAAGCTTAAACAGACTGCAGTAACTGCACTGCTGCGTTAGTCAGGGAAGCCTTTATTACTCTTCTGTTGGACCGAAACATTAACTGTTTATTTGTAGGTTAATGGCAGTATGGTTAACGTAAATTAGCAAGCCTGAAATGAAAGCTGCCTTTAAACACAGAAAATACTGAAATATTATTTTAGAGAGAACTGGAACTGAGGATGAGTAAGATAAAACAGAACTGGAACTGAGGATGAGTGAGATAAAACAGAGTAAAAGAACTGAATTGAAGAAGAGTATATCTTACAGAGTGTGTGTTAGTGTTTATTTTCTAATAGTCTCATTAATAATTACAGAACAACATGGTAATGATAGTAAAATTCATTGTTATTATTACTGTTAAATATTATTTTTGCTATTACTACTGTTATTATTACTTGTAATTGTTTTTGTTTATATAGTCTATTCAGATGGATTCATAGTGAAAGGTTTCTTTTTAACCCTATCAGAGTGAATACTTTGAGACAGTTTGAATCTAAAAGCTTTTTCTTTCTTGTGTAAATTCAGTATTCAGTGCTGTAAATCGAGCTGTAGAAATAATCACAGATTCCATGTTTTGTGTAAATGCAGTTTTTTATGGTTGGAGGTTTGTATCATGTTGTGTTTATATGTGTTCTCTGTGGCTAAAATGAGGCAGATGTGTACCGTCTTCATCAGGAGTGCAGCTCTGAACATTCAAATATTTAAAAATTACAGAAAACATAGATTTATTTGATGCAGTAATGTTGACTGTTGGCTGTGAATTTCCATTTAATGACACTAAAGACAAACTGCATTCACTTCAGACAGTAAGACAGACTGTCAGGGTAAACAGAACAATGGATAAATTAAATGTTTTGACGTGTTTTCTACTCTTTTTTGGTAGCCAATGTGTAAATCCAGTAGCTGCTCCCATTTCTGTCATTACACCAAGATGTCTGACCCTGTGTGTAAACATTACAGACGTACTGTAGTGAAATTACACCACCGTATGAAACAGATCTCGTCTTAAAAGTACTGAAGACTCTGCAGCTTACTCTGAATTTCCTTACCAGTAATTAAAGAGTAAATAAACAATATTAAAGAGTAAATAGTGTTTCAGTTGTTTCAGGGTTTAGTTGTAGAAAATGTAGTGTCGGACACACAGCTGGTCATGATCTTCAGGCGCAGTGGAACTACAGTGGAGTACAGTGTATCACTGCGTGTGTTTGCAACAGACACGGAGTTGAATGGCAAAGCTAAACGTATGGTGCAGTTACTCTGTTCACTCCTATGTAGAAAATGGATCTTCTTGTGGTGCAAAAACCACATAAATACTGTATTGTGTATTTGTTCTAGTTTTCATGTGGAGTGAGATTAGAGCAAAAATCATAATCACTATTATTTTGGTCAGTATTGAGATCACGATTAATTAACACAATCACTTTGGAAACATCATAATGCAGTTAATGGATTTTCTTGAACTTTAAAATAATTCAACTAAAAAACCAATTTAAAAATGAATGTAAAAAGGATAAATAAAGTAAATAATATAACATATACATACACTCTTCAAAATGATGGTTCTTCAAGGGTTTTAGTAAAAAAAATGATTCTATATAGAACCATGAACACTGAAAGAACCCTTTGCATGGTTAAATGGTTCTCTGCCTGGTGAAATGGTTGTTCAGATTGATGGAGAATGTGCTGTAGATGGTTCTGTGTAGAATCTTTTCGAAAGTGGTTCTATATAGCACCAAAAATGGTTCTTCTATTGTTACAAGCTTGACATCATAAAAATAGAAGAATCTGAAAATAGAAGAATTTCAAATAGAAGCATCTACAGCGCATTCTCCACCAATTTAAAGAAGAACCATTTAACGATGCAAAGAACACTTTCATCATACAAATGGTGCTTTGAGTGTTCTACATAGAATAATTTTCTTCACTAAAGAACCCTTGAAGAACCTTCATTTTATGAGTGAATACATAAATACATACAAACATACAAATAAATAAATAAATAGAAATGCATAAATAAAAATGAATAAGATTAAATATGTTGTACTGCATGTCCATAACCTACTGGAAACTATTTAACATATATAAAAATAACAAATAAAAATAAACTAGGCCAAAATAAATGCTGCTCTGAAGGAGGACACGCTGAATTTATAACACAAGACGAAACAAAAGCATCTCTGCAAAACAAAATGCGACACAATTATTGTTTTATCTCGATTATCATGTTGTCATAATCTTGGAAGCCGAAATTGTTATTGAAAATTAAATTCACTGCCCTGAGTGAGGTACGGGCTTACTTTCAGACTGTGATTTTTCCTTTGTCTGTTTTGTTCTTAATCTCAGCAGCATCTGTCAGTGCTGGTTCTCCTGCTCTGTGTAAATGAGCATTTCCTCTCTGTTTTAGTGGAGCGTCGAGGTTGATATGCCGGAGCGGGTCGTCAGTTACATATCAGGTTTCTGTCTCTGTAAAGCTCAGACTGACACCATTCTTTCTGTGCTGCTCTTGGTTCTGCGGAGAAGAGCTGCAAGGTCTGTGCTGATGTGTGTATGTGAGTGTTTCTGGTCTGGAGGCTAAGCACCTCTGAGCGTGTGAAGTGTTTGAGACTAAAGGAAGCTGCATGAAAATGTTCCTCTGTGTTTATCAGCCTACGACAGGATTAGAGCCTCTAATCTGCTCTGTGTGGAGGTTCCAGTTTAGAGAGGACAGAGTCTTCACCATGAGAAAAGGTTCTCAGAGCGAGCGCTGTTTCGTCACCGCGCGGTACGGTTCAGTCTGAATCCTGTTAGTGTGCCAGATTCACCCGGAAACATTAAGCGAGAGGCAGAGTTACAGCAGGATTACAGCACTGAGGCGGCCTGCAGCACTGCGTTACTCTGCATTCCACCAACACACACACTGCACGGCAATAACACACTCACAATTACACAGTCAGGTTTTATCAGCATGAAGTCACAGTAATCCTTTAAACTGCTGCCTCACACTGCTATTAAATAATTCAGTATCTACAGTGAATCTTTCAACTATTATAATTTAAACTAATAAAAGAATACTGAGATGAGTTTGGAAATATGTATATCGTTCTATCCAAGAAAAAATGAGTTTCTCCAAAATGGTAACTTTACAGAAGAGCAGGGATTTTATTCCAAGTGATTTTGGGGCATTTCACACAGTGGACCAATCGTTTTCACACAGTGGGAAGTCCAGCTGATGTGCTTAAATAAAGGAGAAACATGAAAATTGAAAAAAAAAGATTTTTTTTTGAACAGCAATAATATCTTAGGATACCACCCCCCGACTCAACCATCTACTATAAATTAATATCTTCTATGAATTACTCAGTATCTGTTATGAGTTAAATATCTATTATGAATGATTAATTATGAATTATTTAGTATCTACTATTAATTATTTAGTATTCATGATGAATTATTCAATGTCTAATTATGAATTATTGTCTATTATAAATTATTCAGTATCTGCTATTGATTATTTAGTACCTACTATTAATTATCCAGTATCTGTCATTAATTATTCAGTGTCTTTGATGAATTATTTAGTTTATTCTATGAATTGTTCAGTATCTACTATAAATTATTCAGCATATACTCTGAATTATGAATTTTACTCATTTTTGGTAAGAACTTTTTGGGTGCATTTTGTTTGTGTGAAACTAATCTACACATCTGAACAAAGTGAATTCAGAGTGACACTTTTCTCTGAGTTTTTAAGTGTGTGAGTGATTACAGTCGTACTGACCGTGCGGTAGCAGCAGGTCTTATCAGTGAAGTGTCTGAGGGAGTGTGTAGACTCAGAGCGCTGAGCTGTGTGGAGTACAGGCTGTGTTTACGTTTCCAAGATAATGATTTGATTGGCTCGAGGCAGGGGGTGTGGGGGGTGAGACAGTGTGTGTTGGGGGGGGCGGGGTATGGGGGGGTTTCTGACCCTCTGTCTGACTCTGGTCACTCAGCACAGATGGAGTGGACACTACTGACCTTTAAATCCTCAGCACACAGCACTACTGAACACACATCTGTACAGAATCTCTGATTCACAGTCAGATATTCAGAGCTGTGGATCACAGGCAGCTGTGAACACTCTTTAAAACTGTTTATCTGGTACACATCAGCAGGTGACTGAGCGACAGGTGACCAGTTAGCAAAAACATTGTGATACTTGAAGAAGTTTCCATGATAACGTGATGTATCACAATATTTCTTTTTTCTGACATAAGAACATGATACGTTGCAACATATAAAGTAGAACAACATTTAACTCTGAATACAATGATTGTATTCAACATTTATATTCAGTGCACACACTGAATATAAATTCATAACCATTTAATGTAATAACATTCTGTGAGGGACCTTTTAGAGGTGGACGTCTGGGTCCTATCACCACCACTGTGAACAATTCTGACTCGGTAAGTTTCTCTAGAATGGATCGTTTCACACCGAAGTACTCTGAATGACTCTGTTTAAATCTCAAACAGTTAATTATGGAGGAATAAAAAAATAATCC